GACTACCAGCTCACCAAAGGCAAACCCAAGGGGCAATGAGGTGAAACAATTTGAAAGCCACCTACCTGTACTCTCTAAAGTGGTTACAGTAGAAATAACAAAGCAGATGAATGAGAAAAAGTCAGTCAGAAATAATTTCTCAAGTAACTACATAGATGGTGACCATAATAAAAGACATGGTTAGTGACTCTAGAGAAAATGCAGGTAAAAAAATAAAGGAGCTTAGGAAAATGATGGAAACCATGAATGCCCAACTCAGTCCATGAAACAGATTCAAACATATATCCAGGGGATTAAAAATTCCACTGAAAGTGTACACAATACAATGAGGATATGTGAAGACAAACTATCAGATATAGAAGACAGGATTATGGTTAATGATCACGAAAAGAAAGATTTCTTAAAAGTAGCTAGTGACCATGAAAAAAAAATCAATCTAACAGCTGCTAGATGATCCAAAAAAGAATAACATGAGATTGATCAGAGTCAATGAAAAAGCAGGAGATAGCACAAATGACATAAGAACCTGTTCACAGAAGTAATGGCAGAAAGCTTCTCAAGCATGGAAAATGACATACAGATAAGTTAGACATATAGAATTTCAATTAGCCATGATCAAAAAATTTACACCAAGGGAAATAACAGTCAAGATTCCAGAAATTCAACAAAAAAACAGAATATTAAAAACTGTTAGACAAAAGAAACAAATCATATATAAAGGTAAGCCCATCAGAATAACAGCAGACTTCTCAAAACAAATCTTCAAGTCAAGGAGAACTTGGAGTGAAGTATTTCAAGCCCTAAAAGAAAACATTCTCTAATCCAGATTGAGGTACTTCATTCTTTATTAATGGAGAAATAAGATACTTCCATAACAAAGAACACCCGAAGAAATTCATGACCATCAGATAACCAGCACTCCAAAATGTTCTGAAGGACATTCTAGAAAGAGATAACTAGGCTTACACTCCATGAACATCAACAGAATGAATCTACTAGGTAAGGCAAGAAATTAAACAGAAGAGAACAAAAAGAGAATCAACAAAAGGAAAATAACATGGAAAGGATAAGTCAATATGTATTAGTCATAACCATCAATGTTAATGGTCTCAATTCACTAATCAAAACAAACAGACTGCCAGAATGGATCAAGAAGCAAGATCCAATAATATGCTGCATACAAGAAACACATTTAATTAAAAAAATTCATAGACTGGAAAAAAATACTTCATGTGACAAGAACATGGAAGAAAGCAGGGGTAACTATTCTATTTGCAAACTGGATTTCAAGCCAAAACTGATTAAGACAAAGAAGGTCACTACATCCTTGTAAAGGAGAAAATCTAAGACAAAGAGATAAGAATCATAAGTATATATGCATCAAATAGCAGTGCACCTAACTATATAAAACAAATATTAATAGACATGAAAAATTAAATAAGTATTAATCAATTGCAACAGGGACCTCAATATGCCACTATCACAAACATATCAAAGATATAAAAATCTACAAAGAAATATCAGAATTGAACCAAACTTTTGAGCAAATGGACTTAGTAGATATCGAGTGTCCCATCCCACAACATCAGAGTAGACATTCTTATCAGCTGCACATGGGATATTCTCCAAAACAGATCACATAATAGCTCACAGAACATGCTTAAGAAAATGCAAAAGAATTGAAACTACCAGATTATAGTGCAATGATATTGGAATCAATGGCAAAAGAAACCACAAGAACTTCATAAACACATAGAATTGAATAACACCGTTCTAAACAACCAATGGGTCACAGATGAAATTAAAGAGATTAGACAGTTTCTACAATTAAACGATAATGCCAATAGAACATACCAGAACTTAAGGGACACAATGAAAGCAGTCCTATGAAGGAAATTTATAGCAGTGAATTCCCATATCAGAAAAACAGAGCAAGCTCAAATCAACAACCTAATGTTGAACCTCAAACTTCTAGAAGGAAGAGCAATTCAAGCCCAAAGCTCATTGAGGAAGATCAGAGCATAATTAATGCAATGGAGACTAAGAAAAAAATACAAAGAATCAATTAATCAAAGAGTTGGTTCTTTGAAAGCTTAAATAAAATGGACAAACTCTTAGTCAATTTTATCAAAAAAATGGAAAGAAAAGACTCAAATCCATGCGAGAGTTATAAAATTCTTGACTTTTAAAAAGGAGACCAACACATATTAGCTGATCATGAAAGGTTTTTAACTGGTACATATCACGAAATTTTCCAAATGCTGTGGCTTCTACCTTCTAAAGGTTTCTTAAATCAGCCTTTTCCTTGGGATAACTATGACTCCTTCAATTTCAAGTCTTCATTCTCATTGTTCTAAAATACTCTACACCTTCTCACCATTTTCTGCACCAGTAGTCTATATGCCACTCAACTTATACATACTGCTGCCAGATTAATCCCACTGGAGTACAGATCTAATATCTCTCATCTGCTTAGAAAAAGGGAAGGAAGCATCAGCTTCAATACTCTCCCTGTAATTAGCTGAAACCTTGCTAGCATTCTCTAAGTACAGCCCCAAGCTATATCTACACCTTACAGTTAAACCAAACTGCACCTCCCTTCTGCTCTACAAAGAGTCTTTTTTCCATCTTTAGCTTTGTTCAAGCCTTGGCAGTGCTTCCCCTGACTTTACCTACTCCTTCAAAGGCTCATCTTGTTTTCCAGAAATTCACATTACTTTTCCAGATTCCCTCAAGAAGTTGCACTACCTCCCTCTTTGGAACCTCAAGGCCCTTGTCCTAGCAGATTGGCTTGCAAGATAGTATATGGTAATCTTTTCCCTTGCAGATTACTTAGCAGGGCCCATGTCCTATCTATTCTTGTCTTCATAACTGGGATTCAAATTCTTCTGTGAAAGAAATGTCTGAGGATATTACAGAGACAGAGTCACAATATAAAGATGTCAGTTTATATAAACATCATTGGCATAATATTTACATAAAGCACCACATCCACAACAGATTATGTTTCAATTTACCATTTCAGCTCATTGTAAACTTTCAAGCAGGAAAGACCTCATTTATATAGTAAAATCTGCTTCAGGAAACCAATTTTAATCTAGTTAAACTGCTTATGAATAAGATTTCTGAGAAAAGACTATATAAAAAAAACAAAAACAAACTAATGCTTCACATCAACTTATCAGTTGCCTTTAACCTGGACAGGACAGCCAGGTCTTAGAGCATTATTCTAGAACAGTAAATGGATGAGGAGTACGTAAAGATACTACAAAAGCTGACAAAGTAACTTGGTGGAAAGAACACTGGGAGGTGAGGCCTGGCTCAACTCACTTAACTTGCCTCATCTCAGTTCCCTCACTTATAAAACCAGGATATGACTAGATAAACTTCAAGATTCAGTTCTAACACAGAATTCTATAAAAATATGTCTCCACTGAATTATTTCTAACAAGAAATGGGCAAAATTCCAGTAACTCCTTGAGTTATTATTGTCACTCAATTTTATTAAGACACAAAAGATGCTATACTTCTCTAATCTGAAGCTACCAATGCATTTCAAAGTATATTTAAAAATACTCTCAAAATGAAAAATTAAAAAAGTAAACAACAACAACAAAACAAACAAACAAAAAAACAATCTCGGAGGACTGAAAAATAAATATAGCCAAAAACCAATGAATGATTCTCTACCAAACCTCATACTGCTACAAATAAATGCTTAAGTAGCTTTTTAAAAATAAAGGTTCTATCACTTCACAGCCTTTTGGCTAAGATCAAGTGTAAAAATGAAGGTACTATTAGAAACTTTGGATGCCAAATATGCTTATTAAAAAAAATTAAGGTAAACAGTAGGAATGAGGAGTAAATCATTTTGTTCAGGCTTGGTTCTAGATCTCTTGTCAAACAAAATAGCTCCAGGGGTATGACAAACAAAACTTTCAGAATTCCTTAATGAGCACATTAGGAACTCATGAGGTATAACTCAAAAGTACAATGAGCATTTAAAGTTTTAAAAATTTATGACAGTTAGACACACCTTGCCATTATTTCCCCTCAAATGCACTTCACTTAGCCCATCATTCTTGTCACTTTCTGAAGCAGTTCCCAAAGTCTTCTGTTGTGTCCTTAGTTGTGTTGTCCTGGCTGCTTTAATGTCCCTTCATGGACATTTTGACTTTGGGCAAGAGTCAGAAGTCACAGAGTACCAGATCCAGAAGATGAGCTGGATGAGGACTTGATGCAGTGTTTTTACAAGCCTGCCTTTCCACTGGATGGCACTCAACAGCAGCATTCACTGAATTTTTGATCACATGTCATTACAGCTACTACAAAAGATGACTCAAAACTGCTTCAGAAAGTGGCAACATTGATGGGATAAATGTGTTTGAAGTAAGGAAGAGTACTTTGAGGGGGGATTAATAGTAATGTCTTTTACTTTCGTAATTTTTAAAAATTTAAACACTCACCATATATTTTGACTACCCCGTACATATATGCCATTTAGTTATCCTAATTTAAACTCTTCAACCAAGATTTTTACTATATGTGGGCTTTTATGTTTCCGCCTTGCTCAGTTGCCTTTATGACTTAATGAACATGTATGAAGTCTTCTAGAGTAACTTTGGAGGATTATTTTTCTCTTGCCCTTAAAGAGGTACTGTTTGAGTGCAAACTACCACTTTAGGTCTTCCCACTACGGACTTCTGAGCATCGTGATTCTGGAGACACATAACGGGGTCAGTAACTAAGGGTTACCATCACTCAGTCTGAACAAAAGTATAGTGTGTAGCACTTATGAAGAGTTTTGAAAAGCATTTTCCCAAAGTGTTGTGAGGGAAAGGGTTATTTTCTGGAAAATACTAACAATTAATTAAAATAAAGTTGTCTCCCTCTTTTTTCATACCCCCTGAATCAAAAAACAAAATTACTTTCTGAAATATAGCACTCGCTTCGCCCCTTCATTACATAGCTTGAACTCTTGATTCAGCTGATCTGCTTACCTTCTGAGGCTTTGATCACATAGCCACCCTTATCTTTGCCAAGAGGCACATCGAGCAGCTGCATAATTCTGTCCAGCAGTCCATGGATTATCTCAAACCCAGGATTCTTGTTGTAATAAACAGCACAGAGATGCCTACAGTTTTTTGCACCTACATCTGGGGAAAAAAAAAAAAAAAAAAAAAAAA